AAAAAAAAAAAAAAAAAGGCACACCCTGTTGCTCCTGCGCAGCCGCCTGTCGGGATCGCCGAGTCATTTGTACTTTACGTGCGTAAATGCGGGACCTGCCGGTTTGGTTTAACAAAGACAATTCATCGGGGAGGACAGGAGGAGACATTCATATTCAACGGGCCCCCTTTCATCACTTGCGTCACTTTGAAGCCGGCTAGCATGTATAATTCTCTGTGATTTGAGGCGATGCCAATCATGGAAATGATAACTGCAGATACGGAAACACACCACAGACACTTAAAAAAGGATCCGTCTTAAGAGCTAATCCAGACGTTCATTAGCAATAATCTGCAGCAGTCTGTGAGGGTATACAATCGATGTTTTCACACGCAACGTGAGCGCGTGGCTCATCAAGATCTAATGTATCCACGGATTATATAAACGTAGCGTAATAATGACGCAAGATGGGAGTTCGTGCCCTGATTTAACACTTTGTGAATAATCAATTAACAAAATGAACGTCGACACACATTTAAGTCTTCCATGAATTAACTTGTCATCAGATCAGCTATACAGCAGGTAAAAGGACGCAGTCCCTCTCCCTCTAAAAGCATGAATGTCCCTCTTTCTTCTCTTTGTGTACAAAACAAGAAGCTGGCCAGGCCTTCGGATCTGCTCTCATCAGCATGAAGCGCACGGAGCCGAGGTGTCCTCCATCCAATCACATGCGGCCATTTACATCGTGTGCGAGCGCGCCGCACTCTCATGCACGCAGGTGCCCCACCTGCGTGCATGAGAGTGCGGCGCATACGTGACGGGATGTTGGTGAAGCAACGGTGGTTAAATTCAGCAGAAAATGCAAACGTCTCCACCTCTGAAACCGTTCCTACATGTAATCAACAACTGCACAGTAATCAGGTACTTACACCTTATTTGAGTGCTTCCATTCCAGTGTTCCCGCCTGCTAAAGGGAAACGTCGGGCCTCACATTTCATCACAAGTACAACACTGGTCTCCACTACAATTATGTGGCAGCTTTAGCTGCTCGTTAGTTTGCAAATCAAAAGGCTGCGTACGCTCAAACGGGTGTTTCCAATCAGGCTGCCCACGCTGAGTAGAGCTCAGCAGGTGCTTTGGGGCGGAGCTACGTCGCTATGGTCACTATTTCACCCGCCCCCCCCCGGAGGGAGGTGTCACTCAAGCTAGAGAGGGTTAATTAACAGGGAACAGAGGCATTATCAAATATGATGCATCATTATTGATTCAACTGAACAGCAGCCCTGCTTCACAGTTCCAAACTACAAACTGAAAAAATAAATTAAAAATGTGATTCATGCGGGTCAAGAATTTAGAATAAACTCTCAGTGGATGTAAATCAGTGAGTATCAGTGAGTATTCGCACGCACATGCGTGCAGTGCAGAGCAGACGGGAAACGTGTGGGATGAAATGCTACTATAAGGTCACTGGCGGGACTTGAACCGGCGGCTCCGCTTGAAGCCCCCGAGGCCGACGGGACGCCCTCGTTCCTCACATTTCATCACAAGTACAACACTGGTCTTCATGATGGACGAAAGCAACCTGTCGCCGCTTTAACTCGTTCAGGTGGACGCCAGCGTCGCGCAACGAGAGGACGGGGAAGGAAATGACGACGGATAAAAGTCCAGCTGCTGTAGGAGGAGAATATCAGCGAGGCCACGGTTGACATTTAAGATTTAAATCATGTTTTCAATGACCCAGATGATGAATGGCCACTCCATCCAAATGTCACAAGGGCCGAGGAGAAATTATCAGTTACTAGACTTAATTTCGAGTACAGAACTGCTTTTGGTTCTAAATAAACGGGGTCACGGGGGGGCGGTTTAGTTGTGTTTTTATGAACGAGTGATTACGGGATCATTAGCAGCGGCTTTCTGTCCGCGGCACTGTGCACAGCGGCACCAGCAGCTCGGGGTTTTGGGATGTGGGCTTAACGGTTGGAAGCAGCCAGCCAGGTTACAATAAGCTTCTTTGGTCCACGGTGGGGATTTGGCCTTCAATGATCCAGAGGCAAATTGTGTTGCTGAACTCATCCAAATCCTCAAAGCGGAAGGAGGGAAAGTATTACAGGTGTTCATGATGTGTGCAAAGTAGCCAAAGCCACAACATAGGTGGTTTTTATACATATATATTCCATTTATCACGCCGGCGCACACCTCTGTCTCTGCTCTCAACTGCGCACAAAGAAGGAGAGGGATGAAATTGCTTATTTTCACACCACAGCGGTCGACAGAACACTGCTTCCACAGTCAGATGAAACTGTGCTATTTGCTGCATTGTGGGAAATGTAGGATCGCGAGTTGTTGGGATGTTGACCCAGACCTGGTGCAACCTGGCTCCGGTTGCACCATTTAAAGAGAAACAACCGTCCGTCCTCAGGGAACTGACCTTCGGAAGGATCTGAAGCCCCTTCTCCTCCCCCCCCCCCATATATACTTCCTCTGCATGCGTCTGATGCAGGCGCGCATACTGTAGATATCCCTCCGCTCCTCTGCGGGGGGGGAGGAGAGGGAGACGGGCGGGGAGGCGAGGAGGAGGAGAGGTAGAGTTATCCGCCGTCTCATTACGGTGGGAAATGCGAGGGTCCCGATCCAAGGGAATGATGAAGGACTCTGAGGAGGAGGCCTCTGAGAACCAACAAAGACGGCTTTAGTTTCACTGGCAGAATGCATTTGCATAGCTTAGAAGCCAAAGCGACTGAACCGGGGCTCATGAAAAGAAACCCCCGAGCCATTGCTTGGACTTCAATGCAAACGAGAGAGCGAGAGAGAGAGGGAGGGGGAGAGAGAGGGAGAGAGGGAGAAGTGGGAAGAGAAAGAGGAGTAGGAACTTTTTTTGCTCTTTGGTGGCGTGGCACTAAAAAGGAGATGAGAAACGTGGGTTGGTGTTGGGAAACGTAGGTTGTTGCCGAACTGACTCTGATACAGAGAGAGAGAGGGCGAGAGGGCGTTCTGATGGCGCCACGTCTCAGGGTGAGGTAACCGGGCGAAAAATAAATAAATATATACGCACACGAATACAAACTAACGAGCTGTCCATGCCGCCGCGAGGGTCCCGTTCCGCTGCAGCGGTCCGAGGACACACGGGGCGGCTTCGTTGGCCTTGTGGCATTACAGATAATACAGCCAAACTCAGAATATTTAGGGAATATTTAGGGCCCCGTATGAACCTCCACTTATTGGGGGTCTAAAGAGCAACACAGAGGGGGGGGGGGGGGTAACAGGGCAGTCTCCTGTGTGCGAGGGGCAAAGAGGGAAGGAGGCACGATGGAGTCGCTGGGTGTACTTTACACTGGTGTCTCTCTCTTTCCACTCTCTGGCCTGGAGTCATGGAGGGATGAGTAGCCTTCATCAATCCTCCCTAATGACTCTGGCAGCACCACTTAACGCGCTGGTGTGTGTTTTTCTTCATTGCTGCATCATGACTCCGCCATTTAGTCGGCGGCGATGGCGTCGGCCGATGCTGCGGGTTAAGACATTAACGTCGGTATTAAGTACTTTTCCCCTGTAAAACGGTCGGTTTGGGAATGTCGGATAGGATGCACCATGCTCTCATTTCACTGACCCCCCCCCTCTCCCCCCTCCAGCCCTTCGCTGAATTAAAAGGGGAATAAAATGGGCACAACATCCCGGCGTCACGGGATTTGGTTCCTGCTAATTAGCTCGGGTCTTCGTCTCGCACGCCGCAGCACGCACGGCTCGCTCAGCGGCCACGGGATCAGCTTTGATGATTGGCGTCATGCCTGTCTCCCCCCTGAACATGTGCGTATAAGTGAGACCGATTTAGAGGACGCAGCCATCGAACCGGGCTGGAGAGGTGGACGCTTGGTGAGGTCACGCCCTCGAGCTCGAATGGGGGAACTGGAGGAACTCCGAACAACAACGTCATCCAAGAAGAAATCTGCTTGTGGAGGTTTGAGGATGAGGCCCAACCAACCGTTCTTTTCTCCTTTTGTTTTTTTTTAAATCAACATTTCTATCCCTGCAACAGGTGCCGGGGCAAATGGTGGGAATTATCAGCGCACATGTATGAGCAGCCATGCAACAGCTGCCCCGACGTGTGCTGTGATCTACTATCTCATTCACCTCCTCCGTCTCGAGCGAGAGGAAAGATAGAATCCCGGGCGCACCATTGGTCGGGGTGCGGCAGCGTGACTCCTTCTGACGTGCTCGCGGTAACCTTTCATCGCTACATCTGTCTGCGCACAACGCCGACCATGGCGACCAAGGCCTTTTTTTTTCTTTTTTTTTTTTTACTGCTTGGCAACGGCCCTCTGAAATCACACCGCCGCCTCGTCTCTATACTTGACCTCCAACTCTCCGCAGCTCCGCAAGGAGCCTCCACCAACCGGACAGGGCCAAGGCCCTCAAGGTTCCCTCCACGGCCCCCCCCGACGTCACCGCACATGCATCATTGCTGCCGCCGCCAGGGTGACGATTCACTCGAGGCATCGTCTCTGTCACTGGTTGCACAAGCAGAGAGAGACCAAAATATGTGTGCTCATTGTGTGTGTGTGTGTGTGTGTGTGGAGGGGGGAGGGGGGGGGGGGCATCAGACAGACAGACAGACATAAGGAAGAGGTGTAGGAAAATTGAGCCACAGCGCATGGCAACAATTCCTGACTAACAGAACTAAACGCTCATCCGGTACTAATTAGGTGACCAGTCTGAGAGACGTCGGCAAGGTTGCACGTTGTCATAACGCACGAATGCATCCTCGTGCATTTAGACCATAATGAGTGATGGGTAGGACGAGTGAAAAGTGGGGGGGGTGGAGGGGGCTGGGGGGGGGTGGGGGGGGTGGCTCTCACTCAATCACACCAATCACACCTGAGCGGTCTTTTTGTTGCCGTCACGCCACGATGGATGCGCGACCACTGTCTTACAAGGTCATGGTCGTCTTCGGGTTCGGTGGAAGCGAACCGCGCGCACACGCACGCGCACACACACACACACACACACACACACACACACACACTCACCGTACACTCCCTGGCAGCGGACGCCCTCCACGATCAGCGCCAGCAGCCCCAAAACACAGACGATTAGATCCATCCTGTCACGTTAGTCTCTTGCTGCATATCCCTCCTCTCGGTGGCAAGAAGGTCCTTTCCGGGGCGGCGCGCGTCGATCGATTCGGTGTCAAGAGGCGGCTGCGAAGGTATGCGCGGTCCGCGGGACGCGCGGACTGTCGTTTAGATGTCCGCGTCCATGCAGTCAGTCAGGACGTGGAAGATGCGGGAGAGAGAGAGAGTGGGGGGAGAGGGGGGGGGGGCTAATAAGCGCCCCGGCCTCTGGAACAGACAGCGACGTCTCCTCGACGCGTCCGACCCCGTTGGACTTCAGCGGAGACCCGCGAGGCAGCGGGCCGAGGGGGCGCACTGGTGCTGTCGGCTGCCGGCGGACGGAGGCTCGATGCCCGCGGGCATGCCGCGCCTTTGCCGAATCCGGCTGTGGTCACGGCTCGCTCCGCGGATGCAGCTGCTGCTCCGCTGACTGCATGCTGTCCAAAACCGCCTCGCGCCCCTCAACAACAACAAAAACAACAACAACAAAAAAACGCACAGATTTTCACCTCGTCCGGTGGTCGTCGCGCTCACACACACACACACACAGTCACATCACGGCTGCACCCCGACGCCGCGCGCGCTCCGCTCCGTCTCTCCCGGCGTGGCGGTGACAAACGGATGGGGGGGGGGGGACTGGTGTCCAGTCCTCGGCGTTAGGAGACTACACTTTTCTAGTGCATTCACGGTGGGAGCCGGATGTGGCCGCCCTGCGAAGCCAGTCGAGCGTCAGTCACGTCGCGCGCGCGCGGGCGAGTGTGGCACCGCGGCCCCGGTCCGTGGCTACGTCAAGAGGCGCGTGGCGTCCTGCGCTCATCAGTATGGGAGGCTTCGCCCAGCGGTCGGGAAAGGCAGGAGAGGCGCAGCTGCTGGAAGCAGAGACGGAGGGAGGGAGGGAGGGAGAGAGAGAGAGAGATAGGGTGAGAGGATGGGGGGGAGGGAAAGGGAGGGAGGGGGGGTTGAAGGGACCATTGGAATTCAGGAGATCTAGCTCTGACAGACCTTTTGCGATGGACACCGCGCAGCGAGTCTATACCGCTGTCTGCTCGTGTTTCACCGCCCGTGTCTTCATCTGCAGGCTTCTTCTGGTCAGTCTGTCCAAGCACGAAGGGGATCCACCAAGAGGTTATCAGACGGGGTCCCCCAAAGGGCCCTTAAGGTTCCAGCAGGGGCCTTCTACAAACAGCCGCGCGCGTCATTATATTCAATGTTGGCACGACTGGAAATATCCCAATTATAAACGTGACCCATTCCGACCGCAGGTTTCATCTCCTTCAGTAGTGGGTCATGTCGATTATTTGATGATACTGGAAATGGTTCAAGTGCTTTGCCTTCCCAGTTGGACGTGTTCTGTCATAGCAACACTGGTCGGGATACAAAAATAGCTGTTTCCTAGCAACACCGTTTTCATTAAATGTTTTTAATTAGTTAAATAGTTTCCCAAATGAATCAGCAAATAGACTTTTGGGACAAATGGGGATGAATGTCTGGATCCACAGTTTGATTCATCTCTGAACTAAGTTTCCTGCTGGTCTTTTATTAATTGACTTTTCAAGGCCTCGTTTTTTTATTTTTTATGTTGCCATAAACAACAATAAATTCAGATTCCAGTCAAACCAGTCGAACCACCTCAACTTCAAAAGTGTAACATGTGTCTTGACAAGTAATGGACGCACTGTTGAATCTTCCTTCAAACCTTTGAATAAAGTGATAAACAACCGTATTTGTTGTAAGAGAACATCAGTTGTCTTTGATGCGTAGAAACTGTGAGGGTCTCACCTTTAAAGGCTTCTGGGGACCTTCTGTGGACCTTCTGTGGACCTTCTGGGGAAGTGAGTGCTGGACCCCCAGCGTGTGGTTTGGCGCCCTCTACAGGACATCATTCAATTAATCAATAACCATTCAGTCATTTTTGGACACGTCTGCTGTTTTGATCGCACACTGTTCAAAGACACAAGTAAACATGATGTGATTATTTCATTGACTCGTGAGACGTCCAATTTCGTAATTCAGCCGCGCGGACCATATCTGATCCTGAGACGGGGACTGAAACGCATCCATGGAGATATTATTTGATATGAGCTACAAGGAATGAGCTCCTGAAATCTAATTGATCGACCTTTCTCATCCGTTTCACGCCGCCATCAGCGCCGCGCGCCCTCCGACGCTGCGACGGCGAAGCCTTGTCGATAGCGAACCTCAATTAGAAAAATGCTCAGATCGTCTTTCCTGCCGTTACCTGCCTCTGTCTTATCTCAAACGGCGTGTGGAGCAGTGAGGTTCTGTCTTTAATTCAGGATGTTCAATGTCTAACGTTTGTCTCTCGTTTTAGAAAAGCGTTCCCGCCCAACGAGTCATTCAGCATCCAAATTTTCTTTACGACTTTCCAGAATGAAGCAAGCGGAACGATGGATCGAAATCGTTAAAAGTTAAAAGTTAGAAGCGCGATTGGGCCTCAACTTAACAGTAGCCTGCTTGCTGCTAATCACTATATTCCTTATTGTACGTTTGCACCACCCATGCGTCATGGAGCGGGCTTCCACCCTCCATCTGTCTGTTGTGGACAAATCCCCTCCTGCCCCCCCTCCTGCACCCCCCCCCGTGCTTCTCTGGAGGCATATAATGCAAGCTTCTTTTTAAAAGCACGATGTGTGATGCTGCCAAAGCACGCTGACATCGGAGGGAATGCGACCATGAGGCCCGTTGTGAGTACAGCGTCTCAACGCAGCGTCGTGGGGGTGTTATGAATAAAAAATGCCCTCACCAAGCATCGTAGCTGGAGCCGCATGACATTTGACTAAATGTATTCAGTCGCACCGAGCACGAGGCGTTGGGCGTGGTGTGAAACAAGGCCATTTGGCATTTGGGGGAGCCTCGCGTTCATCTTCAAACACACAAGCGGCCCCGTGATGTCACGGCGAGACGAACAAAGAGCCCGGGTCAGCCAGGAGAGGACGGGGGGAGTGTTACGGATTCGCTTCTCCCGACAATATTCTGCTCCGGTTGGCATCACACATGAGCAAACCACAAACCTCAACGGAACGACGTGTATTTTTCCATCTGGCTGCTTTAAAGAGGCCGATGACGGCCAGCGGCCACCTGTGGAAACGCTTCCTCTGACAACTGTGGCTCAAGGACTGTCTGGCAATGCTCATTTCTTTTTGTCGAGTTACTTTTGCCTGATTTAAATTGCCGGCGGGTCCCCGGTTGCAACGTGACATCTGTAGCCCGTGATTACTTTAAACTTCTATCTGGCGAACAAGAGGAATGTGATTTGGCACACCCGGCGGGGGGGGGGGTATGAGGTGGTTATGCACGTTATGAGACGTTTAAACGGTTGCCACAAACTGCAATTACCGTCTCCTCCTCTGAAACGACCGGAAGCGCCAGTGAGAACACGGCGGAACATGTTGGGTACGAGCCGCCGCGGGGGGACGCCGGATGTAGGTCCTTATCTGTCACTCAAACATCTGACTTCGCCCCCTCCAGCCGCAGAGTGCACAGCAGAACGTAACCAAGGCGCGCCCCTGCTGGACAAACGGTTCCCTCAGAAAATAGGTCACCTTTGAGCTGGCAGGACAAATTTTTTTTCAGGAGGGCCGAATTTGTATTTTTTAAAGTGATTCAGTTACTCAGCGTCGTGATGGGTTTACGGCGCTTTGGTGAAAGGACATTCTGTGAGAAGCCTCTTGACTCTCTTCCAGGGTTCGGAATGGAAAATAAAGACGCCAAAGTGCCGTCTTTTGGGCTTCACAAAGCACCGGTGAGTTAATGCAGGCCTGCTTAACATCGCCATAACTTTACTTGTTAATGGGGAAACTAGATGCCACCTCTTAGTGCTCTTGCAGGCTCTTCCCGATGAAATCAGAGGACGCCATTGATCTCACGCTGAGAAGCCTTAGTCTGACCAGGAAGACAAGAGGCAGTTCTGACGGGCGCGCACGTTCGACGCGCTCGGTATTCACGGCGCAGTATTTGCACATACGAGCGGGGTGAGAAGAGGTGGATTTCTCCATGAGGCGCGGAGGTTCCTGGCAGCTGGTATCAACGCGCCGCCAGGATCCGGAGAGACCGGCGCCATGTGCGATGCTCCCCGGCGGGACACCGGGGCCTTTAGAGGTCCAGCCGTTAAACCCACAAGGTTTCACTCTTTTAATTTGCCTTCCTCAGAAGGTCGTCATTTTAAGCCTCCCGATGCAATCTGACTAATCTCCTCCAACCCAATTTATGCACCCGTCTATACGGCGATTGAGAAAACATTGGATGGGTCCCCTAAGATGACGGTTGTCCACTTTAACGCTGGAAAACAAACTGCAGGCCTATTGATCAGCTGTGCTCCCGAGGGACTCGGCTCAGGCTGTTTTGGCGACGCAGCACCGAGTCGACGCGGCGTGCTGATTACGCCGCCGCGCCAACCTCCCAGTCAGACGGCCTCAGAGTTCAAATAAACACAGTCAGATGAGGATAAACGGAGGATTTGTGACGGACATTTTCTGTGCATTGGAATGGCAACCAATTGCTAATTACATCTAAACCCTTCCTATGAATACATGAAATGAACGTTCATGAAAGTCGAATGTAGTCGGTTGAAATGTGTGTTTAATACATGAATATCCTCCCTAACATTGATAATGTTTATTCATTCATACATGCGAAAAAAAGAATTCCAAGGTAAAGTTGCACGCATGTAACGAGGTGATGACAATGAATGCGTTGCATCGCTGTCATGTTTATTTACAGTAAATAATGAATAAACAAACTGTACTTACACCCGGTTTCTAGTGCAACGTTACAATGACACACGTTTGCTGTAATGAGACAATCACGTGGAAAGAGAAACTTGTGATAATGAGAAACGGGGCCGATTTGTTTTGCTCGCGGCGGTCGTCGCACGATGCCGCGCATTCCCTCCGCGCTGCGCTAATCCCAAATAGCACGATCCAAGCAAGTGCAATCAGCTCGCCGATTCAAACGCCGGCAACTGCACGGGAAAATGTGACTCCCGGTTTAGTGTGCGCCGCTACTTGGCTCGGCGTCTGAGAGTGTAATTATCTCTCTGTGTGAAGAAGGCAAACGCGAGAACCCGCGTTGGCCTCGGCGTCCTCGGCCGCACCGGGGCGGGAGAAATGGAAAATCTTTGGCGGGGATCTCATCCGGGGGTAAAATCATTACGCCGCACTCTGCAGAGGGTAAATCGCATTACTGACTCCACTTAAAACCGCAGGTAAAGAGCGACGGCAAACCGCCACTGACGCAGGAAACCTTTCGCGCCTCGCCGGGGCCTTTTTTTTTCGCCACACGCCGGGCCCCGCCTCCGCCCAAACGCCATTGGTAATTGCCGTGTGTATACCTGGTGGTACAATCACTAATTGGGTGTAATTATTTGTCTTTATCCTGCGGGCTCTTTGTGAATCCGAGCTCTTTCTGGAGAGTCGGGCGCAGGAGCGACGGCGAGTGTGAGTGTGTGTGTGTGTGTGCATGAAACACAAACGCCGCTCCGTTCAGCGCGACTGTATTTGCCACGGATATATAGGCCCAAATGAAAAAAGGGCCACAATCACTTTAGGCTGAGTTGCGAGCAAACAAATGAATCATTTATGAACAATGAATATTGCATACTGCTCTCAAAACCGTTGTTGCTTCTCCTTCATGCCGATTTGATTTACAGGGCTGGATATTCACTCCTAAGGAAGAGGAATTATATCACTTGTTCTGTTTCGGCGCACCGAGAAGGGAGAAACCACCGATGTGCCGTCAATATCTGTCACTGAACAATAAAGCAATGGCGCGAAATGTATATTAAAACAATAAAAAGAGCCATTATTGTTTTTTTTTATTCCCGCCCAACGCCGCCGTCTCATCGGCCACTTTAAAAAGTAATCGAGTGGTCAAATAAAGCTCCAAACAGCCGACGCGTCACCGATGCCTTTTCCATTTGCCGCTGAGGTTCAGGCGTGCGACAATAACGGCTCAGCCGGTTGTTCTTTTATAAAAAAAAAGAAAAAAAAGATAAGAAACCAGACGGCGTGCGTTCACTCTGCATGGCGCCAAAAGCAGCTCCACCAAAAGGAAACACCAGCAAACACGGAAGAGCGGATTTCACCGATTCAAAGCGCTTCTCTTTGGGAAATAAATTCATTACGAATCAATACGAATAGAATCACTT